AATCATGGTGAGATAAAGAAATAAGGAGCGATTTTGTTTGCCACATTAGAAAGGGACGACTAGTGAGAAGTTTGGAGGTTTCACAAAGATGAACAGAGATGAAATTTTGGAAAGGATGAATGAAGAAGATGAGCGACGCCGCTGTAAACAAAGGGTTACAACCCTAATTTTTGTTTTTCCCTTAAACAACAACTAAACAATTTATGAAATTTGGGCCATTTTGTTTTGTTGTTAACCCATCATCCCATACGCATTTTACTAATCCACCCTCCCCCTGGCTTGTTTTGTTAACAGCAATAACACCCTTTTCTTTGGGCCTCACCCCTAAATTTCCTTAAGCCCATTGTTTCTTTCTTCTTTTTTTATTTAATTTGTTTTTCTTCTTATTTTTTATTTGTTAACAAAATTGCTAAAAAAAAAACATAAAATACATTTTTATTAAATTGATTTAGGTTTTTGTGATTAATTTTTATCATTTTCTTTTTTTATATAAACTTATTTTTATTAATTTTTTACATTTAATAAAACATAAAAAAAATTTTAATTTAATTTGTTTTCTTTCTTTAAACTTATTTACATAATTAATAAAATACAAAAAAATAATAAAGATTTTAATTTAATCAATTTTTTAGAATAGGTTTTATTTTTCTCTTTTCATGTAAATACTTAACATTTTATATTTTGTTGATTTTATCTCATGGATTATCATAGCTTTAATTAAATCACACAAAATTCAATTTTGTTGTATTGTTTGATATTTGGACCTTCCTATCTCATTTGATTCATCCCCATTTGTAACATTTGTACCCCCACTCCTGAACATTCTGTAATAGCTTAGAATTTCAATTCCCGCAATTTATTGCTTTCTATATACTGTATAGTAATTAGGCGTGGATGATAAGATTCAAAATCAATCGCTAGATGACCTAATCAAAGAATAAAATAACTTGAAACCGACACACTTTTTCACACGCACACCTCTAGGGTAACCTCGCTCGTTGCCTCAGAAATACAATCATGTCCCTCGAATATGGGACGCTCTAGCAATGACCCTTTAATAAACAAAGATCGTAGTCCCTCGATGACCCTCGATATTGCCTTTGATTAAAACGATCTCGTCCCTTACGAGAATTGCTAAAGCGTCTCACAAGTTACCTTCAATGATTGTAAAATTGAACCGCGCCTGTCCTTTCACATCCAACGATGGGGCTTCTTACCAAATCAATGGTAAGATAGAACCATTAAAAGGAGGAAGAAAAGAACAATTTAAGACCTTTCGAGTAGATAGATTCGCTCTTAGTTACTCGCTTGCTCACGATAAAAACTTTTACACCTACACTTCCATTTCAAAACATTTTCAAAAAGACAAAACATTTTGTATACGTTCTTATAGAGACGAGAACCATTGCAAAACCTCTTTTCAAAACACTTTTCGAAACACGATTCACAAACACATCTTTGAACCACTCTTCGAAACAAAACTTTGTATACGTTCTTATAGAGACGAGAACCATTACAAAGAGATTTTTCAAAATACATTCAAAGCCCACACCACAAGCTTACAATAATATGAAAGCAAGTGATCTAAATGAGTAACTAAGAGCCCATGGAAAACCATGGATGAAAAGGGTGCTAATACCTTCCCTTTTCATAATCTACCCCCCGGACCCGAGAATAATCCCGAAAGGTCTTTCCTGTGCTTTTTTACCTTTCCATTTGGATAAAAGAAAAGTCGGTGGCGACTCTTGCTAACCGCACAAGTGCGATCGAAACGCAAAACATCAAGTCAGTTCCCCCACCGCATCACAGAACTGGCGACTCTGCTGGGGACATATTATAAAAGTGGGGTTACCTTAGGGTTTTAGATCACCTTTACATGCTTATCTTGCTTGACTTGTTTGCTTTACACTTTGGTCCTATTGTTTGGGTTTGAATCCTCTACTCGGATTTGGGAAACATTCATAGGTAAATAGCAATACATTGTGGAAACAGTGTGGGGTATACTGACTTGGTCTAAGTAATAGCTATATTAGTGCGACATATTTGTGGGTACCGGTAGCCTTTGAGTCAATCAAAGAGAATATGGGACCGCTGAGTGATGTCATTAAGCACTAATGGACTTCTAGAACCTTTACTTGACCAACTTGGCCTTTTAGGATGTAGCGAGATGACCGACTTTGGTGCAGTCCGAAGTTGGTAGATACTCGATACTACACTCATTGAGGGTTGGTTCCTTGGAATATTTCGGTCGCCAATAAAGAGGCTGAATTGAAACAATGAACAAGGAAACAATCCAGTGATATTGAGCTCCTTAGAACCCGGTTACTATTTCTAGGACAGATTGAGCCAACTAAACTTCAAGAGGGTAGTTACCTATGAAACCCCATGCAAGCCTAAACTAGGAACTTGTGTGATTTGCTTGTACATATATACTTGAGCATAACATCATGGACATCATGAAGCATCATATGCATCCACTAACCATTTCAAGGATTTTGGAAATTCATATTTGTTCTTGTTTTGTAGGTTATGGATTCACTTCGCAGGAAAACTATCCAAGTCAACCTTGTAAGAATTCCTCCACAACTCAAGGAGCTAGCTTCAAGGATTCCTGAGAACTCTCTATTCACCGAGAGACATGGTCGTCTACTCAACTTAGTCACTTCCAACACGGAGGAAGACATGATAAAAGTTCTTTTCCAGTTCTTTGACCCTTTGCATCACTGCTTCACATTTCCTGACTACCAACTTGTGCCCACTTTGGAGGAATTTTCTCAACTCTTGAGGATTCCTATTCTCAATCAACTACCCGTCAACCATACGGAAAGAGATCCAAATCCAGAAGAGATTGCTCAAGCCCTACACTTGCACTCATCTGATGTCACAACATATTGGGAAACTAGAAGTGGTGTCAAAGGCTTCTTGGCAAAGTTCTTGTTTGAGAAGGCCCAAAGCTGCTGGAATTCCTTGGACTTACAAGCTTTTGAGGAGATTGTGGCTCTTATCATCCATGGGATGGTCTTGTTCCCAAATATTGACCAACTCATAGATGTGAGTGCTGTCAAAATCTTCATGATTCGCATCCCGGTTGAAACAACCGGCTGAAAATCATCAAAATAATGAAGTCGCCCTCGAACGTCTTTTATCCAACGTGTAGGGAAAGGTAAACATAGAGAAAACCTGAAAAAGGAGAAGTCACGGTCTTGCGACCGAGAGATCGGGTAAGGGAGTCTGTTACGCGAGGGGAAGGTATTAGCACCCCACGCGCCCATAGTACTCTACAATATCCACTCTTGTTGTCTATCTTATGGGTGTGTTTAATCTATGCTTACTGTTTACTACACTACTGAAGGGAATGCATGCAAAATAAAGGATAAAATAATGTAGGGAAAATAAAATTATGCTCGCCTGGGCCCTACCCTAATGCCTACGTATCCTTTTTGAGGAATCAGAGCTACCGTAGTTCGGCTCATATGTTTTTGTTTGTTTTGTGTTTTTTATGGACAATGTTAATTCCGCCTTCTGCCGCAGCTCGACCTTTGGAGACTTATGCGTTGGCACAGAAGTAAACTAATCATGTCCTTACCTAAAAAGGGTTTTAGAGAAAAGGGTGCTCGAGCGCACAAAATGGTTCGAATTTGGTTTTGTGTTTTATTACCTTGAAAAAGGGTTTAAGTGTTGTTAGCATGTTTTTTATTTGCTGAGAAAAGAAGTTTTCGTTTTAGATGCAAGGATGCAAAAGGGGAAGAAAAAAGTCTAAGGGAGACTAGCCTATTTCTAACCTAATGTTATCATACAATGGTAGTCCTAAGGTTTGGATTAACAAAAGGGGAACGTCTACCTAATGTTAGCATGCATGGTTTACAACTTAAGGTCTATCTTGTGTCCGAACGGAGCAAGCGCATCCTAAGGGAACATGGTATGTACAAGGATAAAGCAAGCAAGCCAGCAAAAAAACACACCTAAAGAGATCTTGACTAGGTTAGCATGTCTAAGAAAAGTCTAAAAAAAACTATCCTATAGGGAGCATGCAATGAGAGCGAAGTCGTGATCTCAATTTCTAAATTGAGTGACTCATCGATCAACAAGAAAGAATGGAAAGCGATAAAATCCTATAGGGAGCATACAATGAGAGCGAAGTCGTGATCTCAATTTCTAAATTGAGTGACTCATCGATCAACCGGAAAGTAAACAAACACAAGCACAACACATATAGCAAATGAAGTGCGGAATGCCTGCTACAGGTCTTTAAACAGCGACTTCGAGCACACGCTCTTTATTCCCTACTTCATATGATATCTAGAAAGTGGTAAAGTGCAGGAATAAAATAGAGTTGTGACGATACCAAACGGAGAAGGTCCGTTGCCTTTTCATAACCATGCAATCCATAAGAAAACTCTACAGAAGCCTCCTTGAATGATCAAAAGTTAATCTCCAAGCATTTCCCATCGCGAAAGTTATATCAATACTATCACGAAATCTTAACTAAAAATGACAATGAAAAAGATTATTAAACATGGAAATAATAAAAAATTCTAATAAAATTCTAAAGAGAATCTAAAAATATTTCCTAAAATATTCTACTATTTTTGTATCATTTTTATTATCAATTAAGAGGAAAAAATTAAACTAGAAGAAAAAAACAAAAATATTAATGAGATTAGAAAAGTCAGGGGGTGTTAACAGGATACAAGGGGTATAGTCCAGCAATACTTCTTGTAACACTAGCTACGACATGTGCCAAAACAATAAAAATGTGCCCAGGACAAGCAATCCAGCCCAAGATCCATCAACAACAATCCAAGCTTATTTTTTGTTTTTTATTATTTTACTAGAAATAAATAAATAATAAAATAAAGAAAAAAAAAGAAATTGAAAGGGAATGATAACGTGAGATTAGGTTTAGAGGAGTTATCCTCTTCGTTCGTCAACGGCGCCACTCCCTTCTCCTTCTTCCAATCGAGCGTGCTGCCATCTCAGTTCTGATTGAGTCGCTTTCCATGCTTCGCCGCGGTTTGCTATCATATCTCCGCTCGTTCTTCGCCTCATCATCTGTCTCAAGCTTCCGTCTCCCAGCGCCGTGGTGCCATCACCGAAGATCTCCAATTTTAACCCTCAGTTCAAATTCCTTCGATCCGGTTTCATTATCGCCACCCTTATCAATTTCCACCACTGTTGCGAACAACGTCAGCATCTCACACCACCGTAAACACCTTTCCCAACCTTATCTATTTCGTATTCACCTTGAATCAACATTGGATCATTAAAATGGTTTCAATCAAAGCTCCAATCAAAACCATAGTCAAGGGATTTTATGATCTAGCAACAACAATCGCGGGTTCGAGGCAGCAACAAACACGACACAAATGCTAGCTAGCAAGAAACACGGAGTTCAGGTATGAATTCTTGATGCCAAATGCTCTTCTACTTCTACTTCTCTGCCTTGCGTTCTTGTTTATTCTTCTGTATTGTTGTGTCGTTGTTTGATGTTGCGGCTGCGCATGATGTTGTTGTTGTTGCTTGTTTGCCGCGAGGAAAATTGAAGATGTGAAGTTGTTGTTGCACAAGAGATTGCAGAAGTTTGTTGCCAAGAGGGATGAAGGATTTGTCGTGGTTGTTGCAGAGAAGGATGAAGTATTTGTTGTGGTTGTTGCAGAGAAGGATGAAGGATTTGTTGTGGTCGTTATAGAGAAGGATGAAGGATTTGTTGTGGTCGTTGCAGAGAAGGAAGGTTATAAAGATGGTGGATATTGATATTCGAGAAAGATGAAGATTGAAGAATTGAAGCAGAGATCTGGAGAGAGAGAGATCTCAAAGTTTATTGGTGAGTTTTTTTTTATTGCAAATCTCTGTATATCTATTTCTCTGTGAAAATTCTCAATGTAAGAAACCGTATCCTGCTGAATCTCTCCCTCTCTTCTGCCATCTTCTGTTACCCCTTTTTGTTTCTTCTGTTCTAATTCTGTTAGAATTCGTTGAGTGGAGGAATCAGTTAGCTTTGTTAGTTTCTGTTAGGGGTTGTTATGAGTTGGTTAGAGAATGTTTTATAAAAAAAATTTGTTTTGGTTACTGTTAGTGAATTCTGTTTTGGTTTGTTGGGCATTCTGTTAGGAATTAGTTAGGTTGTTTGACAGTTGGTTGGTTAGAGGTTTTGTCAAGAATCTGTTTTGGTTTTGTTAGTCTTCTATTACAGGTTATGGAGAATATGGTTAGGGAAAAGGGTTGTTTGGAATTGGTTATTTGGTTAAATTTTAAACTGGTTTTCTGTATTGCTTTATGCAGGTTTCTCCTTCTGAGTTTTCTTTTTGTTGTATAAATGTTCAGGATTTCTTTGGATTGAAACAACAGGCATAGATCATGGCAAGTTACAATACGCCAGTTTGGTCATGAAGAAGATAATGAAGATGGAAGCAAACTAAGGTTGCATTTCAAACATGACAAGGCCACACAGAAAGCGATGATGAGAATCAATATATGCATCTTTAAGTGTATTTCTCATTTTTGTAGTATATTTTTGGATATTGTAAATGGTGTTGGATATTTGTAATGTATTTTGGAACTTGAATAAATGGAAGCCTTAATGAATTGTACCTTGAAAATTGGATGATGTAATTCATTTGTAACCTTAAACTTTCAAATTGATTTTGAACTTCCAAATTCCTTTCCCTTCAATATTCCCTTTAGACTCCTTTGTATGAATTCAAATAATCATGGCTCAAATCCAAAATTTTTGCGAGGTAATCACGAAGAGACTTGAATCTTTAATGAGTTCTTGAATGACACTTTGATTGTTGGATGAAACAAATGAGTTTGATACATGCCTTTTTATTCTAAGAAATACCACACAAATATTTAAGAACTTTTATTCACCCCAAATCCTCTTCACATCTTAATGAACGAGTTCCAATCAAATTACAACTTCAATGAATCCCTAATTCAATTCACTTCCTTAATATAAACCAAACTTGTGTGTCAAGCAACAAGTATTTGAAATAATGACACCTTGATTACAATCCACATCTTGTACCATGTCCCGACTATATGAGAACTAGAATAACGACGTCTTGGACCCCTGAAGAAGATATTCAAGATGACTTTAAACTTATACCTTAGTTTACATAGTCTTTACTTAAACCTTTAGTGAAACCCTAGTGATCCTTCCCTTGACGAGGATGACAACCTTATAGCTTGATGGGGGAGAAGTTCACCATAATTAAGAATCCAAACCCTAGTTCCATAAACCACAGTTACTCGGAAACCAACTAATTCAAGCCTGGGTGAAGATGAGAACCATCAAAGCCATGGAAACCCTAATTCCATCCTATCATTGATCCCATGCCAAATTATATTGTTAGCGAATGTATGCAATGTTAAATGACCTAATGGAGTTATGTACATGAGAAAAGCGTGACAATGCATAAACCCGATAAAAGTAGAAGGGTAGGACAAATTTGGGGTATTACAGTTGCCCCTATTTAATTGTCTTAAACCTGAAAGTATGATTGGCGCGTGCCTTTCGGAAGTTCAAGGTGGAAGATGATTAAATACCAATGCCGAAAATTTATCCTGGGAGGAAGAGTAAGTGTTTTCTTTATTTATTTTTGTTTTATCTGCCGGGGAAAAGAAAATTGTTTTTTCAATGAAGGGACGGAGATTGGACTTGTAACGTGGCTTGATGCCAATACAAGACAAATGGTTGGTATGAAAAGACAGCGGACGAGGTCTACGGGTGACCTACGATCCTAAGGTGACACATGAGGGTGATTTGACAAAGAACCTATCCAAATGGCGATCTCAGTTTCTAAGACAAAGTATATGGAAAGAACCTAGCCAAGAGGCAATCTCAGGTTCGACCATCATTTGAGGGAAGAACCTAGCCAAGAGGCGATCTCGGGTTCTAAGAAGGTGATCTAAGGAGGAACCTAGCCAAGAGGCGAACTCAGTTTTGGCGATGATTTGAGGGAAGAACCTAGCCAAGAGGAGATCTCAGGTTCGACGATGATCTATGGGAATAACCTAGCCTACGGGCGATCTCAGGTTTGATGATGATCTAAGGAAGAACCTAGCCTACGGGCGATCTCAGGTTCGATGATAATCTAAGAAAGAACCTAGCCTACGGGCGATCTCAGGTTCGACGATGATATAAGGAAGAACCTAGCCTACAGGCGATCTCAGGTTAGACGATGATCTATGGAAGAACCTAGCCTACGGGCGATCTCAGGTTCGACGATGATCTATGGAAGAAACTAGCCTACGGGCGATCTCAGGTTCGACGATGATCTAAGGAAGAACCTAGCCTACGGGCGATCTCAGGTTCGACGATGATCTAAGAAAGAACCTAGCCTACGGGCGATCTCAGGTTCAACGATGATCTAAGTAAGAATCTAGCCTACGGGCGATCTCAGGTTCGACGATGATCTATGGGAAGAACCTAGCCAAGAGGCGATCTCAGGTTCGACGATGATATAAGGAAGAACCTAGCCTACGGGCGATCTTAGGTTCTAAGATGATCTAAAGAAGAACCTATCCTACGGGCGATCTCAGGTTCTAAGATGATCTAAGGAAGAACCTAGCCTACGGGCAATCTTAGGTTCGACGATGATCTAAGGAAAACCTAGCCTACAGGCGATCTCAAGTTCTAAGATGATCTAAGGAAGAACCTAGCCTACGGGCGATCTCAGGTTCGACGATGATCTAAGGAAGAACCTAGCCTACGGGCGATCTTAGGTTCGACGATGATCTAAGGAAGAACCTAGTCTACGGGCGATCTCAGGTTCTAAGATGATCTAAGGAAGAACCTAGCCTATGGGCGATCTTAGGTTCTAAGATGATCTAAGGAAGAACCTAGCCTACGAGCAATCTCAGGTTCGACGATGATCTAAGGAAGAACCTAGCCTACGAGCGATATTAGGTTCGAAGATGATCTAAGGAAGAACCTAGCCTACGGGCGATCTCAGGTTCGACGATGATCTAAGGAAGAACCTAGCCTACGGGCGATCTTAGGTTTGACGATGATCTAAGGAAGAACCTATCCTACGGGTGATCTCAGGTTCTAAGATGATCTAAGGAAGAACCTGGCCTACGGGCGATCTGAGGTTCAACGATGATCTAAGGAAGAACCTAGCCTACAGACGATCTTAGGTTGGACGATGATCTCAGGAAGAACCTAGCCTACAGGCGATCTCAGGTTCTAAGATGATCTAAAGGAAGAACCTAGCCTACGGGCGATCTTAGGTTCTAAGATGATCTAAGGAAGAACCTAGCCTACGGACAATCCCAGGTTCAACGATGATCTAAGGAAGAATCTAGCCTACGGGCGATCTTAGGTTCGACGATGATCTTAGGAAGAACATAGCCTACGGGCGATCTCATGTTCTAAGATGATCTAAGGAAGAACCTAGTGTTGTACCCCAAATTTTCCCTCTCATTTCATTAACATTTTCTCACCACAAGACCCTTGGAGCTCAAGATCAAGTTAGGGTTTGCTCTGTTCAAGACTCCTCCTTGCACTGTTGACCCAAATTAGGGTTTGAGTTTGCACAAAGATGTTTTGACCTAAAATGCCCAAAGTGACTTTCATGCTTCATGTTGGACTCACAAGTTTATCCATACCAGGTTTCAAGCCTTGATTCCAATCTTTGCCCAGTCAATTGGACAGTTGACCTAGAAATCAGCTGTGTTGGGGAAAAAGTCAACTGTGGCCAATTGACAGTCAAACCTCATGAAATTTGACCCACATCAACATAATGAACTCATATGAACCATTTGGTCAAGTTTGGATTACAATTTCAGAAGAAATTTGATCAGATCACCAAAAGGGCAAAATGGTCATTTTTAGGGTTTTGACTGCACAAAGGCAATTTTTGACAGTTTGAACTAACCATTGGCAAACCAAGCTCACATATGGAATCAAGAAATCAATGGAATTGTCTTGACACATTCAACAAGTTCAAAAGATCTCAAATGCACAGGATTGACAGATGAATTTTCCAATCAACTGATCAAAATTTGACTGTATACTGAAAAGTCAAACTTTGACTTTTTGGTCAAAATCAAGTGCCAAGATTCATTTTTCATCAAGACATGTCAAATTATGAAACTTGTTCATCAAGAAACCCAAAATTGCAAATTAGGGTTTAAAATGAAGAAATTTCATAACTTAGAAATTTTCTAAGTTATGAAATTTCCTTATTTTTTCCTAACTTTGTCCCATTTTTTCACCAAGATGCAAATGGATTCAAACAAAACTCAAAACATTAAAGTTGTAGTCCATTACAAAATCTACAACTTTAATTCACAAAGTTTTCTCAAAGGAAGCTTGTAGCTTAAGTTATGATTTTTGGAACAAGGGTGCAAAACATTTTTAACTTAGAAAATTTTTGACCTATTCTAGGCAGGATTTTTGTCCAACTTCTTGGCCATTTTTCACATGCTTCCACTTGGAGTTTCAATTTTCATTACAAATATGGATTGTAGTACACATTCCAAGCTTTCCAAACTGTCCAAGAACTTCTCAAACACCCTTGTGGTTAGGGAGAATCGAATTTGCAAAGTTGGGCAAAATCCACTTTTGTTCTTGGCCAAGGCTTGTTCATAACATTGGCATTTTTCAAATTAGCTTGTACAAGCTAGCTTACAGGCCTCAAAACAAGTCTCACACACCATAATTAAAGGCCTAACCATTGTGCTAAGGTGTTATTTTGTTCATTTGGTCTTTACATGCAAGATTAACCCTTAATTGGAAAAAGCATATT